CCCCAAAACCCCAAAACCCCAAAACCCCTTTGAATAATAAGAAGATTGAAATATCTTTTTAAACTCCTGGCATTGGAAAATCCATTGCATAATTCTCAATATCATGTTTGAGCTTAAGGAGCTCCTCGTCATTTTGAGCAGCGAGAAGGAAATCGCCGATTTGTCCATGAGTTTGATTTTTAAGTTCGATTGCTCTCTGAGTAACTTGGTGAAGATAAACTGCCACATCGCTCATGTTGCTCTCCTTGTATCCTCTAGTTGTTCACGCCAGAGACCCCACCCTAATTGCATTCGGCTCCGATGAACTCAGAATCCTGACTGCGTTCGCATTGATCGAGGCCAGTTCCAGCGCCTTGTTGATGAAGACGGCTTCGATTCCGAGGCGAGTGGTGTCCCAAAGCACCATGTGGTTCTTTGTGCTGCCGCCCCACACATCGTACTTGAAGCCTTGAAGCGCCTTGGCCAGCGCCTGCGAGTTCTTGAGGACTTGCTGCTGGTATCTTTTGAAGTTGGGGGTGCTGGCTTCATTCAGAGCGATAGCGAGGCCGGCAATAGTGTGGTTCATGGGACCACCGATGATACCTGGGAAAACTGAGCTATCGATTTGGGAGGCGAGGTGTTTCTTGCAGAAAATAAGGCCTCCCCTTGGCCCTCTTAAAGTCTTATGAGTTGTTGTAGTTGCTATATCGACAAATTCAAAAGGCCTCTCCATAAGTCCTGCTGCAATAAGACCAGAGATATGAGCCATATCTAAATGAATATGCGCACCAACACCATCTGCTACTTTTCTAATATACTTATAATCAATGTCACGAGAATTGACTGAGTATCCACAGATGATTAATTTTGGTTTCAGCTCTTTGGCTTTCATAGAAAGTTCATCATAATTAATCTCACCATCTTCATTTACAGAATAATGATCCGTATCATATATCTTACGAGAAATAGCTTTTTGGCCATCTGGAGTTTGAAAACCATGTGAGAAATGCCCTCCAAATTTGCCTGACAAAGCAAGTAGTTTATCTCCACGATCTAGAACAGCATTATAGGCAGAAAGATTCGCCACTGAACCTGAAATAGCTTGTACATTAGCATGCCATTCATTAGGATCAAGGTCGAACAATTTCAAGGCTCTTGCTTTACAGATGTTTTCAACTTTATCGACATTAACTCATCCAGGATATAATCTATTTCCAGGATATCCCTCGGCATATTTATTAGTCAGACAACTCCCAACTGCTTTGTTCACAGCTGAGGAAGTACAATTCTCTGATGCAATCAGAGAGATAGTTCTTTCTTGTCTACTCTTCTCTGCAATTAAGAGAGAAGAGATCTCTGGATCTGCCAACTTCAAAGAAGGATCTTCCAATTTATAGCCAGTTGATAGTCTTCTGATTCCTGATATCTTCGCGAATCTTTGCGATTGATATACTCTGAGCATTTCCAATTTAATAATTTAATTCGGGGTTTTGGGGTTTTGGGGTTTTGGGGTTTTGGGGTTTTGGGGTTTTGGGG